AGGTTTTGTAAAAATAAAAAACTGAATACAAACTAGGTGTATTCTTCTGAAACTTTAGTAGTAATTTCCCATTTTATGGATCTGATCCAAGATCCTCTCTGCTTCAGGTTCAAGAGCCTTAACCAGATTATCCTGGGAAGTATAACATAGTATCACTATAAACATCTAGAAATGTTGGTTAAAATACATAAAACATATTTTGAGTTTGTAAGAAGAGAAGAAAATCCAGATAGTGCAAAAAAAAAAAAAAAAAAAAAGGGAAACTAAAAATTAAGGTAGTAATCATGAGCTGACATGGTGTTGAGTGTTAATAGCTGCATAGCGTACAGAGGATGAAGCCTCAGACTCAAGCAAAGGAGGAATTAGAACTGAGGGCTAGGAAAAATGGCGTACACAAAGTCAGTCTTTGGCACTTTATTCCATCCAACCACTTCGAGATTGCTTATCCTTCTTCTCTTCCAGAAGACTGTCCCCGACTACTCCCTCCACAGCTATTTACTCTCCTAGGTTCCTAAATTCTGGTGTGCCTTTCAATAATTTTCTAAAATTAATAATTTATTAAATGTTGCTTCTCATTTCTTTTTAGATTAATGATAAATTTTTATAATTAATTTGTCTGTAAATTAACAATTAAGTTAATATTAACATATGATGGTAACTCACCACTACCAAAAACAACCCCCATTCTTGCCTGGGAAATTGAGGCACTATAACTAGAAACGGAGGGAATGAGATGAATGAAGCAAAAGGAAAACAGAGAGGCTAAAGGATAAATACCAAAACCAAAACCAAACTCACTGGTACTGAGTCGAATCCGACTCATAGCAAGCCCTCCTTGGGTTTCTGAGGTGGTATCCCTATGGAGGTAGATTGCTCAAGTCATTCTTCTGAGGAGTGGCTGATGGGTTTGAACCTCCAACCTTCTGGTTAGCAGTCAAATGCCTTAGGCACTATGCCACCAGAGCTCTCAAAGGATAAAGAGCAAAAATAATGTGTTCTCCACCAGCCAATACCATCTCTGGCCTCCTAACTTCTAGAATTTTTTGTGTTTATTGAACAGTAGGCACCATCAAGGCACCAGTTTAGAAACTGTACTTTTCTTCTCCCTCAATATCCAGGCTATAACCAGATGCTCTGGTAGCATGGTGCCTAAGGCACTTGACTGCTAATCAGAAGGCTGGTGATTCAAACCCACCAGCCGCTTCTCGGAAGGAAGATGGGTCAATCTATTTCCGCAGTGATACTGCCTCGGAAACCCAAGGAGGGGTCTCTATGAGTCGGGGCCGACTCGACGGCACGTAACAACAACAACCAGATGCATTTTACCTTCTAAATCTCTTTCAAATCTATCATTCTTGCCATAGCCACTGCCTTCACCCTGTACTAGGGTTTCTCAGCCACAGTCCTTTGCACATTTTTGACTAGACAATTCTTTGTTGTGGAGGTAGTTCTGATGTTTTAACAGCTTCTTGACCTCTAAATAGATTCTAGTAGGATCCCTGCCTATATTGATTGAGTTGTAACAACCAAAATGTCCCTAAATATTGGCAAATGTCCCCTGGAGGGCAAAGCAGTTTATACCAACATGTTGCTGTTCTTGTTGTTAGTTGCTGTCAAGATGGCTCCAATTCACAGTTACCTTATATATGAAACCAAAACCAAACCCACTGCTGCCACTGAGTCTATTCCAATTTACAGTAACTCTTTATGGTAGAGTAGAACTACTCCATAAGGTTTCCAAGGATGTAAATCTTACAGAAGTGGACTGCTTCATTTTTCTCCTGCAGAAGCAGCTCGTGGGTTCAAACCACTGACCTTTGGTTACCAGCCAAATGCTTTAACCATTATGCCACCAGAGCTCTTGACCTTATATATAGCACAACAAAACAGTACACCACTGCTTATACCAACATGTCATTGTTTCTTGACCAGTGTACTGCAATAACCTCTTAACATTTCCTTGCATTCTCCACACTACAAGTGGTATTTCTGTTCCCTTGTCAAAGCACTTGAATTCAGTGACTTATTTCTCATACAGTAAAGTCTAAAATTCTTATTGTTGCTTTAAGAAGCCTAACTGTCACATCTCCAGATTCATCTTACACCTCCCTGCACCCTGCTTCCCCTCACTCTCTGCAGTCCAGCTACACTGGCTACCTTTCAGTTCCTCAAATGAGCCATTTTCCCGACAGTCCCTGGGCTTCCCCTCAAAACTTTACCAAGAAGGCTCTTCCCCACTTCTTCTAGCATTCTGAGAATAAGTAGGTTTGATTTTAAGAAAATACTATCTTGGCATGTGGATCAAAAGCTGTGAACTAAAATAAAAGATGAATGTATTTTAATGGTTGGCAAAGAGGACAGCACGGGCAAAGATCAGTAATGATCAACAAGGAGAAAACCTAGAGTCCCCAAACCTAAAGCCTAGTCCCATTTCCGCCATTCACTCTCTACGTGATTTGTTTTTAATTTACATTGAGTAAAATTAACTTTTTTCTGGTAACTCAAGGATGGTTTCCCCAATAAGCAAGGTAAACAAGGGCTTACTTGTGCTTACTAACTAACTAATTTGTAGTGAACAGTTTCACGTGTTTTTTCACCATTAAAAACCAAACCAAACTCACTGCTGTCAGGTCAGATCCAACTCATAGCGACCCCTGCTTGGGTTTCTGAGGCAGTATCATTATGGAAGTAGATTGCCCAACCTACCTTCTGAGGAGTAGCTGGTGGGTTTGAACTGCCAGCCTTCAGGTTAGCAGTCAAATGCCTTAGGCACTATGCCACCAGAGCTTGAAAAGAGAATTTGTTTCCGTAGGAAGGTGCTGGAAAGTTAGGAAGAGACAGATGCCAGCCACATGTAGAAGGAGACTCTTTGATGTGATGAAAGAGTGTGAAATTGTTCACTACAGATTAGTAAGTAAGCACAAGTAAAACCATATACGGTTCTATAAGTTTAACACATGTAACATCATCACAATCAGGATACAGAATAGTTCTATCATGCCAAAATATTCTCTTGTGGGCTCCTTTGTAGTCAAACACCTCCCTTGCCCAAACCCCTGGCAACCACTGATGCATTCTCCATCTTAAGGTTTTGCCTTTTCCTAATACCCATGTGATCCTGAACTACTAAGACTAAGATTCTCTGAGTCCTGTTTGAAATTACACGTAAGTCATCTTCTATATATAAAAATACTAAATTATTTCTGATGACTGTTTATTTGCTATGGCTAAACCCCAGGTATATGACCAACATCCCTTCCACACAGGGATTCAAACCAGTTCACTGTGGTTCAACCCCCAGCTGAGAATTTGCATTTCTATCCCAGATAGGAGCTCTGGTAGCGTAGTGCCTAAGGCACTTGACTGCTAACCAGAAGGCTAGCGGTTCAAACCCACCAGCCACTCCTCGGAAGGAAGGTTGGGCAATCCTACTTCCGTAGTGACTCTGCCTCGAAAACCCACGGAGGGGTTGCTATGAGTCAGGGCCGACTCGACGGCACATAATAACAACAACAACATCCCAGATATACTGAATCAGAATCTACAGTTGAACAAGATCTCCAGATTACTCTCACGTATAATTAAAACGTAGATTCTGATCCAGTATACCTGAGGTGGAAATGCAAATTCTCAGCAGGGGAATGAACCGGTTTGAAGCTCTGCTTCTATAGCACGTTTTAGAAAAGTCTGTCAATAGGTTTGTGGCTAATGTCCAATTTTTGCAACTCTCCATCTTAAACTTTCAGTCTTCCCCAGAAGAGCAGCTCTATGTCTGATTTCTGCACACTACCTTGGTGGGCCTGTAACTCTGTTCGCCCCTACAAAGCTGTGAGCTCCCGCATGTTCCTTAACTTTTCCTAGTGGCTGTCCTTGCTCAGCTTACCTCATGTTTCCCTTGCTCAGCTGACCACACTGCAATAGCCTAAGCAGCCAACTGCAATTTGCCTTTCAGTACTCTTTGTTAGCTAGGGAGTTTCCAGCTTGTTCTAGCACTTGGCTTTTTATGAACATGATTTGTCATCAAATGTCTGAAGGTAATACTGATGACACTGGTAAGTCAACAAGTCAGCTATAGTACAGTCCAGCTTCACCTCCACTAAGATCAGGAATCATTCTGGGTACAAAGAAAGCTTTCAGTAATGATTTTCTGAAAAATGAATAAAGATTTGCTAAAGAATGGGTTGCAATCTGGCTTCTATCTATCCATCCAGGCTTAGCTCCAAAAATGATCCTCTAACGCTACCTGCCCATAGCTCTCCCACCTCCATGCTGCCCTGTGTGAGTGGCTGTGGGCCCAGACAAAACTTAGTCATAGTGAAATACTAAGAATGTAGCACAATAGCTGGACTATAGCAAGTTCTCCATGGGTATTTTTTTAACCAGTAGAACTAATATTTTAAAATCAGGCCTTCCATATAGAAAAAAAAAAAACAGACTATTGTCTTCATTTATAGTTTTAAAAATGTGTTACCATTAAGTCTAATAATAAAATATTACTATCAGACCTTCACTTGACCACATGATGAGCTGAAAGATACAAGACTTTAAACTTGCTTTTTATCTACATTTTATTTGTATTTTAATTCCTAAGCACTTTTCTAACAAGCCACAATTAAAGTAGAGTATTAGAAAGCACTTGTGTAAGTGAGGTTTCACTCTTTCTCTAAAATTTAATTAGGAGTTTTGTGTTTCATTTCATTGAGTGTCTTTTATGGCCCATAAAAAGTAGTTAGAAAGGCCCACACTTTGGTATGCACATGCAACATATCTAATATTCAGAGAAAAACAGCAAGCATACCAAACATGGGAGAGCACTCTTAATTTATCTTGCTAAAAACATAAACATTTCTCAAATACAAACACCCATTGATTTTTCAGATTAAGTCAATCATAAAGCAAATGATAAGCAAAGTCATCAGACTTATTAACAAAACTATGGATTTTTAGAAGCTTGTTAGTTTCCACCTAATTGGGTAAGGCTAGCACAATGTTTGTTTTACCTTCCGGTGGCCTGTTGGATGTTGCCACAACGACGACTCCGTTTTTGAACAGATTTTCAAAAAGCTGTTTCAGAATCATAGCATCAGCAATGTCAGTGACCTAGGGACAACAACACATTTGTTTTATTTTAACTTCACTTCTGCTCAAACAAATATGCTAATGGCTCATCTTTTTTTTTTTTTTTTAAGATGGCAGTGAATTCCAAGAGAAAATTTCTAATTATCATCATGAAGAAAAGAGTAGATAATTAAAAGCATGAAAGACTATACAGCAGTCTTTTAAACTTGACTCTCCTTTTCTGCAAGCCTATCATTTCTACATAAATAATCAAATAGTTCCGTGTTAACTTCCATTATGGAACTACAGGTGGAAAGCATAGTAATTGTCCAAAACATTTAGGAAGTCTAATTAATTAGAACTAATATGACCAACCCCCCTTCTCCCAGCCTCCAGCCTCCAAAAAAGGAGAGAGAGAATAAAAGAGAATTTGAAAAAAAAAAAAACACTGGCTATTTGAGATTTCTAATACCTTCAGCAAAGGTCCCTGGAAAGGTGACTTTAAATGGTCATGGGACTTTAGAAATAAGGACAAGTAGCCAGTGAGACATAATCAGCTGCTGTTGAAAATAGAATGATATGACATAGATACTATTGTGCAATTGTTGCACAAAACAATTCAACAGATGGCCCATCACAAAAATAAGCAATTTCATTGTTCTTTTTAAGTGCCTTCTATTACTGTCCATGAATAATCAAAAGGCACTGCAGTCACTTCCAGCACAGCCAGCCTCTGCTAACCTTCGCAAACACAAATATTCCTTCCACAGAGGGGAGGGGGAGAAAAAAAAAAAAAAAACACTAAAAGAATAGTTACTATAGTGCTTTAAAAAAAACTGGCAACACTAGAAATCATGATGCAGAAATAACCATCCCACCTCAGTGGGGTGATAGAGAGACATAGAATTATCGATCCTTTCAAAAATTATTTTAAGATTCACATTAGAAAATAAACTTAATGATAACTTAAAAAAAAAAAAAAAAGCTTTAAAAACTCATGAAAAAATATAGCCATTAAAGGGAGGAGGAAATTGACTTCAAAAACAAATGTAGACTGAAGGCTGATGTGAATCATTCTAACTTCCCCTAAGAATATAACAGCATGGGTTTTAGATACTCCTAATTTTAAAATATTTTGATATTTCTTTAATAGCATATTTCAAATAATCTCAATTAAATTATATATAAGTATATAAATCACAAAATATATCATATTGCTATTTTTCAATTATATCAGAGCACATAGAAACTAGAAGAATTCTTCCAATGAGACCAAAATACTGAAAGTTACCAACTAAACAGCTATAACACAACAAACGATAACAACCTGGGTTACACAGGCCTGAAGCGCCTTTCTCTTTACAACTGACATTCTACTCAAAAGTTTATGTCCTTCTCACCTGAACAAAACAAAAACCACGAAATGGGGATGTGCAGGTCGTTTTTTGGTTTGTGTTTTGCTGTCACAGGCTACAACTTTTAAACATACTAACTAAAAAACAGCTGAAGTTTCCTTGAAATAAAAAGACTTCAGAAGCTTCCAAAGTGGTGATTAAAATTAAAAGGAAAGTAGTACTGATATTATTAATTTGGAGCTCAGCATCACTGTCAAATTTTGCTTCTGCAGAAACACAGAGAAGGTCCTTTTCAAATGCTTGAACACCAGTGGCATTTCTGATGAGAGGAAAAAAACAGCTTGCAAATTTTAGAAGCAACTGCATTTTTAAATTGGATTCCAACTACACTGACTTTTAAAAAGAATGATGCCAATTAAAAGTTACCCAATTTCAGAGAATAAAATGTTCATTTGACTATATCATTGATTTTTTGTACAAAATTAAAAATAGCTTTTGTGCCCTAAGGTTCAGAAAAATGAGGGGACATTTAGCTAATAACATGGTGCAAAGGTTTAAACTGAAAGTTGGAGAAAGCAAACAATAAAGGCTTGTGGTTGAGTTATAATTTGTTGTTTTTGTATTACAGAATGTTTTTGCCCTATCAGAGTAAATTAACTTGGAGGAGCTATGGCTAATTAATAAAGCAGGAGTCACTTGCTGTAGCCGGGTGCCAGTGTATACTCTTTTGATCTTGTCCCCATACTTGTTCAGCTTTGCTGGGGAACAGTAATTTTACAGTATAAGTGAACAGAAGACAATTGGCCACACATTCTTGCAGCGCGGGTTTTTTTCAGCACCCAGCATTTCATTACCACCAGGAACAAAAGAGAGAGCTACAGATTACCAGTCAGGGTAGTCTGCTAACACACAGTGGAGACATTTCATTAGCATTAAAGAGAAAAGATTTTTTATGACCTAGAGTTGCTTTCCATTATGACTCACTTAAGTAAAAAAGAAAAAAAATCTAATGGTTAATTTACATGTGTAAGTGCTTGAGTCTCAGTCATCCACTGATTGGTACAGTGCCATATAATGAGTGACAAACATAAGCATGCATTAGCAGTAATTAGTATTAGCACAAAAATAAGCACCTATTTTTTATTAGCAGTTTTTAATAGCTTCCCTGCTTTATAAAAATGGTTAAAACTATTTTTTAAATGATATTGATAGCTTATAGAGGAGAATTTTGCATGATATTTTGCTCATCAGAATTTTTTTTTTCAGACCACATTAGGAAAACATCTATCCAGTGTCCCTAAAAAGAACCATGAAGAAATGCATTCTGTAAAAAATCAGTTTCCTTCAGTATTCTAATGTCTTCAGAATCGTAAACAATTTAACAAGAAACATAAATATTCAAAGAGTATATAATAAAGACCCTAAAGAAAACTTTGAGGATAAGCAATTCTTTCATTTCAGCAACTAAAACACATAAAAACAACTGATCTAGACACATTCTTCCGGTAAAATAAGAATGGTGTATCTGATGCCACAGGTAAAACGGAATTGCTACATTTAGTAAAGATGACCAAGCCACTAAGAAACAGATTCTGCAAATGTAATCTGAATGCTACCAAAACATAATCTTAAAAATTCCATAACCTCAAAAGCACAAAAAAGAAAAATCATATCCTTGCTTTAAGCAGCACTGATTCTCATTCATCTTCCTGGTAAAACAAATATATTAATTAAGACCATGTAAGGGCCAATAATAACTACTTGGAAATCAAGATTACTTATCTGATTCCATTTTAAAAGTGAAATAATGATTGTAGACATTCTGTCATTAAGAATAACATTTCTTTCTTAAGAAAGAATAAAGATTCTTTCTTAATAAATTAGCAATGTATTGTACTAGAATTAATAAATTTAAGGATAATTTAATTTATTTCCTTAAAACATCCACTAAAACCCTACCCAACTCTAGAACTATATATCTAAACACATAACACAAGACTACACATGCAAAACACTTTATGTACAAACAATCAAACGAGAAATAAATTTGTTCTGTAAACTTTCACCTAAAGCACAATAAAAAATTTTAAAAATAAATTTCACGTGCCAGGAAGGATGCAGTACATCACTGTTCCTAGTGATTAGGAGCACTGATTCTGGATTGAAATTATTAGTTATCAGCTGTGTGACCTTGGCCACGTAAATATTTAATCTCTCTGACCCTCGATTTCTTTATCAATATAATGAAGGAAGTAATAATACCTATCTTGCAAAATTGTTATGAGACATATAGTAAATGCTCAAGAAATGTTAACTATGCCTAAGGAGCTCTGGTATAGCGGATAAGGTATCTGGTTGCTAACCAGAAGGTCAACAGTTCAAACCCCTCAGCTCCTCTGTGGGAAGAAGATGAGGCAATCTACTTCCCTAAAGATTTACAGTCTTGGCAACTCAAAGGGGCCCACTATGAGTCAGAATCGACTCAATGGAAGTGGGTTTGGGGATTTTTTTTTTTTAATTTATGATATATATGATAGTATAATACCATATTATGTATATGTATGTTGTTGTTGTTGTTATGTGCCATCCAGTCAGACCAGACTCATAGCGACCCCTCCTTGGGTTTCTGAGGCAGTATCATTACGGAAGTAGATTGCCCAACCTTCCTTCCGAGGAGTGGCTGGTGGGTTTGAACCTCCAGCCTTCTGGTAAGCAGTCAAATGCCTTAGGCACTATGTTACCAGGGCTCTTCCTATGTATATGTATGTTGTTGTTGTGTTGTTATGTGCCATCGAGTCAGCCCCGACTCATAGCGACCTCTCCTTGGGTTTCCGAGGTGGTATCACCACAGAAGTAAGATTGCCCAACCTTCCTTCAGAGGAGTGGCCGGTGGGTTTGAACCGCCAGCCTTCTGGTTAGCAGTCAAGTGCCTTAGGCACTATGGAACAGAGCTCCCAGAATTAACATGGAACTATCCAAAGCAAAGTAGAGTAACTAAGAACATAGGGATATAGAAAGCACTCAAACAGTAGCTAATTTTATTATCAAATATCTATAATAGATGGATTGTAAACATTGCAATAAATAAATGGGCAAAGCTTCAAGTAGTTCATATAAGGTGACTTTAACTAGTAACTAAACAATGTGAGGAGACTTGGTGGCACAGTGGTTAAAGAACTTAACTGCTAACCAAAAAGCCAATGGTTCAAACCCACCAGCTACTCTGTGGGAGAAAGATGTAATAGTCTGCTTCCACAAAGATTTACAACCTTGGAGACCCTAATGGGGCAGTTCTACCCTGTCCTATAGGGTCATGATGAGTTGAAATTGACTCAACGCCAGAGATTTTTTTGGGTTTTAAAACAAATCTAGAAAAAATTCAACCATATTATTTCTTAAAGGAATGTAAATTAAAACAAGCTACCATTTTCTTTTTTTAAAAAAATACATTTTATTGAAATATCATTTATGTACAGTGAAATACACAAAACTAAAGTGACATGGGTCAATGCTTTTTTGTGTGGTGTTCCTTCCCCTCCCCTCCCACCATTTTTATCTATTAAATTAAACAACAAAAAAGTTAAGATAATTGACAATATCAACAGGGAAAAATATGAGTTTAGATTGGAATATATCTTGGGTTCTGTAAGTGCTGATTTCACATGAGGAATAGTATTACATATAAAAGTGAGTGAGGCTTCATTGGGAAACTACTTCAAGAGTTACGATTTGGCCCTAGGATTTACCCATTCATTCCCAGGCTCTGTTGTAGACACTCAGGAAATATCAATTAACAAAGATCCCTGCCTTCAAGCTTACCTTCTTATAGAGAAATATAGACAATAAACATAATAAATAAGTAAAGTACATACTATGTTAGAAGGTGATGCATGTTATAGGGGAAAAAGGGAAGGATAAAGAGCACTGTAAGTGTAGGGGTCAATGGCAAACTGCAATTTTAAATCAGTGTCAGGATGGGCCTTGTTAAGAAGGACGGAAGTGAGCAAAGATGTGAAGAAGGGAGGGGGTTAGCCTTATGGATCACTGGGGGAAAGACAGCTGTTAGCACAGGGAACATCCAGTCCAAAGGCCCTGCTTCTTTGTTCCAGCTTGTGTGGTTGGGGGTGGGGGATCAGAGTTCTAGTGTGACAACATTCTGGAGTGTCCTTTTATCTTCTTGAATTTCAGATAAGTGGGACAAGTAGGGATTTGAACTTGCAATAATGTCAATGTGGTATGCTGGAGGAGTTTCTCCAAGACCAGTAGAAGACAGACCAGGATACTCAAACTAGGAAATCCACTCTGCTCAGAGATCAGCTCTGCCCCTTACATGCTCTCTTTATCTGGTGGTTCTTCTCCATATTGGGTATAAGCAGATATTGACTGACACAGTGGTCTTTTGCAGGACTCACCTCATGTGCAACACCAGTATCTCGATACCTGCTTCCTATCTAAGTAGCGACATTTGGAAATCTAAACTCACTGGAGAATGCCCAATGCAGCTTTCGGTCAGGACCCCACTACCAGGTGGCATTATAACTTTCCTAGGCCCTCGACACTGGGCATTTTCTTCTTGAGTCTCTTCCTCAATTGAAAAAACACCACACACACACACACACACACACACACACAAATTTTTACTTTATGACTGTGTTCATAAAAAGACAAATCCAGGCTGAATTCATTATCATATATTCATTCTTGATATATTCATTTTAGCCTCAGATTTAAAAAAAAAATTAAAGACATGTCTTGGGCCTCTTAAAGTATCCTGGCCCCAGACAGTGTACCTACCGTGTTCAATAGTAAGTTGGCCCTATTTGTTACTTATCTTCTTCAGGATCTCCTGCCAGGTTTTCATAGCTCTTAATTTTCTTAAACAGTCTCGCCTTTCAGTGGCTCTCATATCATAGAAACATGCCAATCATGTCTCTGAATGTTTTGAAATTCACATTTTTAAGTTAAGGCTTTCACATGATACCTAGGAAATTTTTATGCTTTTAGATTCCTCATCGATATGATAGATAATAATAACTATAGGATTAAATAGAGTAAGGATGTAAAAATACTTTGTAAATCATGAGTCATTTTACAAAGGTTATATATATGTTAATATTATACTTTTGTATTTTTAATTCCCATTTCATAATCAAGAATTGAACTGTAACAATTTAATTTTATTTAGAAATATTTTGGTTTTATTAAAAGGCTAGTAATGGAAAAAAATAAGACTGATTTTTTTTTTTTGAAGGCAGCATAAGTCAGTGGTATTTTTGGAAGAACTAAACAATGCCCTTCTCTTTCTGCTCTATATTGGTGCACTGAACATGCCTCTTTGGAGTGGCAGGAGAACATCCGATCTTTTCCATAAGCCTTTTCTCGGAAGACCTTTGTAGCTTACAATATAGAGGGTGAGCACCAGGCTGTCTTAATATGACATGAAGGGAAAAAGAAGCAAAGATTTCTCCTTTCCAGATGGTTTTCCTAGTGAAAAATTTTCCCCCTCCCATCATAAATCAAGGCTGTTGTTGGTTATATCTATCCAACTGATAAAGCAAACTCATCACACATCATTTGGATAAAAGGATCCTGGCCACAGCATCTTCCCACTAATCTAGGTTTCAAAACACAGAAGAGCACGAAATAATTCACTACCGATTTAAATGTATAATTGCAGAGAATCTGAAAACTGGAAGAAACTTTAAAAGTTCAGGTAAGCCATTTGATCCAGCAATCCCAGTACTAGGTATATATCCTAAAGAAGTGAGAGCCAGGACAAGAACAGATAGATTCACACCCATGTTCATCACACCACTATTCACAATAGCAAAGAGATAGAAACAACCTAAGTGCCCATCAACAAAAGAATGAGCCAAACTATGGTATAAACACACAATGGAATACTATGTAACACAAAAGAATAATGCAGAATCTGCGAAACACTACGTAAAGTGAATGAACTTGGAGGACACTATGCTGAGTGAAATAAGTCAATTACAGAAGGACAAATATTGGATTAGTCCATTACTGTAAAAATTCAAGGAAAGGTTTATATATGAAAGGAAGCTTTCTTTGTTGATTACCAGAGAGGGGAGCCAGGGGGAACATGCTAGATAAGAAGAGACAAGTATTGATTTGGCTGAAGGGAAGGGCAATGTACCGTAAGCAAGTGATCAACATGGTGGCACTGAGGAAAAGGAAGACAGAGAGAGGTACACAGGAGGTACACACAACAAAGATGAACCCTTTTACATGTACAGTACTGCATTGTCAGTGATGGCAAGCATTGATCTACTGGTAGATAGACGGATGGACAGGCTGAATGATCAGCTATGTCTAGGCAGGAGGGAGTGTGCCCATGACCATGTATAGGGTTAGTAGACAATGAATGTTTCTACATGCATACTTGAATGTGCTGTAAGAATGTCTGGGTGTATAGTAGAGCTGACAAGGGGCAAGGTTTTGCTGGCTTCTTGGTCACAGCTAACTACACGGAAGGAGTGAGTAGTTGGACCTGCGGGCTCAGGACCGTAGTCTCAGGGGACATCAAGCTCAATTGCCGTAACATACTACACAAAAACATTGTTCTACATCCTACTTTGGTTGAGTTGCAACTGGGGTCTTAAAGCTTGCAAGTGGCCATCTAGATGCAATGATGGGTCTCTCCTCATCCAGAGCAAAGAAGAATGAAGAAAACTAAAGGTGCATGGAAACAATTAGTCCAAGGGACTGGTAGACCACGTGATCCTTAGCCAGAAGAACTAGATGGTATCTGGCTACCAATGTCAACCACTCAGAGGAGGATCAGTGCAGGAGATCCTGGATAGAGTGAGAGAACAATGTAAAACAAAACTCAAAATCATTAAAAGAAGAAAAGACCAGGTTTGCTGGTCAGAGAGAACCTGGTAAGACCCCTGAAACTATTGCCCCTAGTTACTCTTCAGGTCTGGAACTGAACTCACTCCTGTGACTTCCAGACAGACAATAGACAGGCACATGGGGTGAACATTTACATCAGGTAGATACACTCCTTGGAGTGAGGGCAAACAGAAGAGCAGTGTTTGCACAGGGAGACAGCTGAGGAGGGGGAGTACGTGGAAGGGAAGGACACAGGGAAGAGGTAACTATGAGAAGGAAGTGGGAAGAGAGCTGTTACAATGGAGGGAATTGCAGCCAATGTCATGAAACAAAATGTGCATGAACTGCTGTATGGAAAATGAATTTTCTCTGTAAACTTTCACCCAAATCACAATAAAAATTTAAAAAAAAAAAAGTTCAGCTATGGCAATTCCCTCACAGATACATTGTGAAGATTAAGAGAGATGTATGAATAACCCAGAGCCTACAATGAAGTAAAAGCACACAACAAATAATAGCCCCCTACCCTTGACAGTTCTCGAGGCCTTTGTTCTAGGCAGACAGACAAAGGAGTTCTCTGGTCCCTCTATGAAATATTTTTCAAAAGCTTTGGGTATGAAGCCCTCTTTTTAAGCTTATATTCAGTCCCTGTGGACTTTTTCCATTCCAATAATCAATTGCTTTTATGATAAGCATTACAGAAAAACTATTACAGTTCAGAACCACTAAAGAAAAAAGATAGACCAAAAGGAAGTTAAGTTCTAACTTAGAGTATCTAGTATAACACGGAGCATGTCATAGGATACAGACATAGTGTTTGCCTTCATGCTATATTTGCTCTTACAACCAATAAAGAATATACTTCGCATTATATTTATTGCATTGTAAGACGATATATGTTGTATTACAGAATCCTTTTTTAAAAACTGAAAATCTTTAAAGCCTTTATTTTGCAATCACTACATTATCTCTGTGGTACAGAAGAACTGTCAACCCACTGATTAGAAGTTAGGAGTGGACAAACTCTTTCTGTAAAAACTATTTCAGGCTTTGTGAGTCACATATGGAGCCTCTGCGTGGCACAAACAGTTAAGCACTTGGTTACTAATGGAAAGGTTGGTGGTTCAAACTCATCCAGAGTTTCCCCTAGCAATCTACATCTGACAGATAACAGCCATTGAAAACCCTTTGAATTACAGTTCTACTCTGAAATGCATACAGCTGCCATTAGTCAGAATCAACTCTATGGCACCTGATTTGTTGTTACTGTTTTTGAGCCACATACAGTCCCTACGGCATTCTGATTTTTTTCTTTCTTTCTTTACAACTTTTTAAAAATATAAAAACCATTCTTTTCTCTCTGTTCATACAAAATAGGTGCAGGACAGATTTGCTCTGTGTGGGCCATGGTTTGCTGACTCCTGGACTAGACAGTAAAACTGAAGGATAAGAGATAATGTGTTAAATTAACTTATAAAGCAATGATAAAACCAGGGGCAGAATTGAAATCCTCACCACTTCATTCAATATAGCATTCCACATCTATGAAAAAATCTCTGCCTTACCTGAAATTCATCAAAACATAAGAGAGAAGCTTCTTCACTAATTTCTTCAGCTATAGGAGCTATTGGGTCATAGGATTTAGCCATAAATCCTGGTTTCCTTTTTGGCAAGCTCTGTTTAAGGCGGTGTATTCCTTCAATGGGTGAAATTAAACACAAAGCAAATATTATATTAATAACATATTTTAGACAACTATAACATTTTTTTAAATCTCTAAATGAAACTAGTATAGACCTAAAAATTAAGCTTAAATTCAATATCCAATCAAATTTGATTGAAATTGGTTACATTTTCTCTACCTCAAAATAAATTGTTCAAAGATTATTTTATTCCCATGGTTATAAGGAAACGTGGAGTTTATTCCACCTCCACTCTTCAGTCATCTCAGTGATGACAAAGAGAAAGACAGCTGGATGGACGGATGGACCTTAGTTCTGAGGGATGGGGGTTATGTCCGCATGTTATGTCCAGCATATCTAATCAGGATGCTCCCTTGTCTGCAGCTTCATGCACTAAAGCCAGTCCCACTTTATTCATTATACATGTACTAAATGCTTAAAGTATTAAGAGAAAATGACCATGTTCCCTACCCTGGACATGTTACAGTGTAGCTAGCAGACAATGCAAAAATGAAATCACACAGTAACACTGACAAATCAATAAGGCATACATCTAAGTACAAAGTGAATACATACCTGCTAAGGTGACACAGAGCAAAGACCTAATCATGTACAGCTTCTTGAAATAGGTGAGTTTTTGCCATTTTTTAATTGCTTTTTAGTAGAAATAGAAAATGCTTGACTTCCATACAGTAACCTCTGTTCTCTTATTTAGAAGAATTTGTTTTTAAGACTAACTCCAAAAGCATCACTGACAATTTCAAAATACCACAAAACAAACAAAACCAGGTAAAACCTTAGTTTAAGCAAAAATCTAACTTTTAAAAAACATTACACGAAGAAAACCATTTCTGTATTTTTGCTTACTAAAATCACTACTTTCATATAACCAACTTACTTCTGTGTACATCTAGCATGAAACCATGAAAATGAACCCTTTTTTTCCTCTTCGCTTCCACATAAGCATAAAACATGTCCATCACCATTGTTTTTCCCGTACCTTAAAAATGAAAAAAAAAAAAAAAATACTAGTAAACAGTATGTACTGATTGCTTCAATGATTGTTCATTAGTTTTGAGATACTGAAACCACACTCACTTATACTGAAAACTTAAGACTATGCTACTTTTCTGGAAAGGGGTGTTTACTTTTTAAGCTAGCTAAAAACAAAATATTGATATTCTTTTCTCCTAAAATCCTGTTTTTTAGGAAATACAACATTTACCTGACAATACAGGCACTATTTTCCCAGAGAACTATGTTCACACGCTGGCAAGATTTACTCATTATTTATTCTTCATCCTTTCTTCCAAAAGATAGCAGTATTAACAAAATGACTTAATTAAAGAAATGTTTATTGGGCCAATACTTTGAATGAGGAATTATCTTAGGCACCAAGGGAAAATTCAAAATGAAAAATAAGAAAATTAAAAGATAAAAAATAAATTTTAGTTCTAATATAAATACTGAAAATATATATCAGAGTTGGAGAATTGCCAATTATAATGCTTCCATTTTTAAAAGCTGAGAATAAAAGTCTTTCAAAAGAGGTCTACTTAAAGAAATTATGATACAGTCAATACTTATAATTATCTAATTTTCAACCCTCTGAAACTTTTAATCACAACTGCATTAGTAATCAAACAGCCAACACCCAAGGCATTGAACACCTGCATACACAAAATTCCTTGCTCTCTCACAGAGAGCTTGGAACTTTGGGAGCAGTGGCAAGTTCAGTCTGTATCCCAGGCATTCCCAGCAGGCCAGGCCAGGATGTGCTGATACCTGTCTCACATCCTCCTTTCTTCCTCCATGACTATTCACCACAGCGCCCACATTGTCCTGTCAGGGCCTGTGGTAGTTAAGGTTGTTGTCAACTTGGCCGGGCCTGGTTGAGTGGCTGGGCAGCTGGTGGCAGTTATTCCCCATGATGAGACTGGCAATCAACTCCATGGTGGACTCCGCCGCGAGCAGCTGAGTAGCTGCTTTAGAGATGTGGGCTGCTTCCAGTATGTAAGAAGCAACTTTGAGGACTGCCTCCAGCTTTTTGGCATACTTGAACCCTCCATGTAGCCGAGTCTTCATTAAGTAGCCTGCCATGCTCTGCCAATCTTGGGACTTTCAATGTGCTTGAATTAATGGCCTGCCATGTGGTTTGGTAATATGGGGACTATGACTTTTCACTTGTTAACCTTGGGTTTGTCAGCCTCAGCAGCTAGCAGTTGCCTGAGTGAAGAGATGCCTCTAGCTTCAGTGGGCCGGGAGCAAGAGGCAGAGCCCAAGGTCAAGGAGCTTTCACCCAGCCCCTACAGGCTGGCACCTTGAACTTGGACTGAAAGCCTCCAAAAACTGTAAGAGAATAAACTCCTGTTTTTTAAAGCCATCCCATTTGTGGTATATTTTCTGTTAGAACAGCACTAGGTAACCAAAACAGGGCCCAGTGATTACTAAAAATCCAAAGTAGCTCAGCAAATAAAGTGTATATCTATCTCTTGGGCCTCCCTTCATTCCATGAGGTGACTTTGGGCCCATGCCATTTGAATGCCAGAAAGTTTGTTGTATATGAAAATACAATTCACGCTTTTAATGAACAAGTATTTTCAGATATTGGACAAGAGGTAGCACTGAAAAGGGGCAAGACTCTGATCCCTGAGAGAAAGGAGAAAAAGAGATGAGTCCTACAATCATTCTAGCTTTCTGTTTGGAGGCACCTTCCAGATCACAGCACAGAAAAGAAGGACCCCAAGTAAAGCACACAGATCTGGCTGAGTGGGCTTAAGAGAGATCAGAATTATGGGAGTGGAAGGCAGCTTGGAGGCGTGGGTTTTGCTATTATGCTGAACAGGCTTCAGCAGAGCTTTCAGACTAAAACAGACTGTGAAGAAAGACCTGGTGATCAACTTCCAAAAATCCACCAGTGAAAACCCTATGGATCACAATGATCCAATCTGCAACCAACTGTGGGGATGGCGCAGGACCAGGCGGCGTTTCACTGAGTTGTGTGTGGGGTGGCCATGAATCAGGTACCACCTCCACAGCAGCTAACAAGGCAGCTGGAATGTGTGAGACAGAGTGCCAGAGGAGACGAAGCAACACAGTGAAAGAACCACAGAAATCAACATATGGATACTCTCGAGTCTTTGGCTGCTCCTGTCTAGGGTGACAGTCTACGAAGTGAGTAGCAAAGAATGATGATCAGGAAGTTGTAAAAAAGAACAATTTCCAGAGATATCAATACATGCAACAAATTTAAATGCAACTCCAGGAAATTATGATGAATGAAAAAAGCCACTCCCAAAGATTACATGCTGTATGACTCCATTATGTAACATTTTTCAGATGACAAGATTTTAGCAATGGAGAATAGATAAATGGTTCCTAGGATTTGGAGGTGGGGAAAAAGGGGAAAGAATAGGTGTGGTTATAAAAGGGCAATGCAAGGGACGCTTCTGTTGACGAAGCTGTTCAGTATGTTGACTATAGTGGCAGACACATGGACCTACGTGTGATGAAACTGTATAGAACTAAATAAACACAAAAAAAATGAATACAAGAGAAATCTGCATGCTTGTACAGAAACTTGTTGTTGTTGATGCTTTGTGCCGTCGAGTAGGACCCGACCCATAGTGACCCCTTCTTGGGTTTCTGAGGCAGTATCACTACAGAAGTAGATTGCTCAACCTTCCTTCTGAGGAGTGGCTGGTGGGTTTGAACCGCCAGCCTTCTGGTTAGCAGTCAAGCGCCTTAGGCACTATGCCACCAGAGCTCCTTGTACAGAAACTAGAGAAATCTAAATAAGATCCCTGGATTGTATTGATGTTAATATCCTGAGTGTGCTATTATAACAAAATTTTGCAAAATGTTACCATTGAGGGAAACTGAGTAAAGGGATCTATCTGTATTATTTCTAATTACTGCATGTAAATCTATAATTACCTCAACAACATTTTTAAATGTTAAAAATTAAATTTGAACAAATCAAATTGATATGCAAATAGCTTAACTCCCTGCCAAAATAAAATTCAACATGCTTAAAGAAGACAACTAAATTCAGACCCTAGACAAGTTAATATTTTCAATATCCAGTGTATAATTTAAAAATGAGAAAAAGCAGAAAATCATAGAATTCTATATATACAGTAAAAAGAATTTTCAAATAATGAAAGAAAATGAAGACTTTTTTTTAGATAAATGTTAAAAGAATTCATTACCAAAGCATATCTGTGCTGCATGGAAATGTTGGCAGAAGTCTGTAAGCTTAGAAAAACTATACCAGATGGACATAACAAATTAAGACTATGTTGCTGTAAGACTATGTTGTTGTTGTTATGTGCCGTCGAGTCGGCCCCCCGACTCATAGCGACCCCTCCTTGGGTTTCCAAGGCAGTATCACTACGGAAGTAGGATTGCCCAACCTTCCTCCTGAGGAGTGGCTGGTGGGTTTGAACCGCCAGCTGTCTGGTCAGCAGGCAAGTGTCTTAGCCACTATGCTACCAGAGCTCCCACTGTAAGACTATAGGAAAGTGTAAATATTTAAGGAAAAAAAATAATTTCATTTTCTTATTTTTTAATTTCTTTAGATGATAAGTGACTACTTAAAACAACAATAATAATGTATTGTGGGATTGATCATCTATGTAGGAGCAAAATGTATGGCAATAATGAACAAAGGGAAAGGTAAGATAAACAGAAGGACACCATTGTAAGGGTCTGACATAATATAGCTTGAAAGAACACAGTGATAGATTAAAAAGGCATATTTTAAACTTTAGATTGAACAGAGAAGTACAGCTAATAAGTCAATAGCAGAAATAAAGTAGAATATTAAAAAACTCAAGAGATAAAACAATATCAGAAACAATGAAAGGACAAGTTGAAAACAAATGAGAAGACAGACTTAATTCAAATGATATTGATCCATATTGGTAAGTTCAAATGGACCAAAAAATCCAATTAGAAGCTGAGATAGAATAGATAAAAAAGCAAGAGTTGAGTATACATACTGTCTACCAGGAACCCACACAAGTTAACAGTAGCAGGATGAAAACAGATATACCATGCAAACACTAATCATAAGAAAGGTGGAATGATTATCTGAATATAAGGCAAACTATATTTCAAGATAAGGAATATGCTAAAAGGACAGGGAGGCCACATGTTCTGACCTCCTCTAATCCCACAAGAGGAAGACAGAATCACCATCAATAGCCCAAGGCCTATTCCTACGAGGCCAGACATGATGCCTCCCTCCAGCCCTTTCTCCAACTGTTCCTCCCAAAGCGCCCACCACCTCTCTCCTGGGTTTGATAATTCGCTGCAGTGGCCACACAGAACCCACAGATTATGGGGTTTATTGCGGAAGCACCAGGCTACAATTCAAGTTCAGGAAAAACACTCAGTCTCTCTCCCAGCCCACCATCTCTCGGCCAAGTCTCTCACAGTCTTTCCCCCAGCAGTGCATTTCCCTCGGTGTCTTACTCAGCAATGCGTGTCTCTTGCATCTCTTTCCCAGTAGTGTGTGTCTCTTTCAGGAGCGTGTGTCTCTTTCAGCAGCACGTCTTCCTCAACCAGCAGCAGAGAGAGAGACTTCTTCTGCCTCTAGGAGGCCTCCTTTTGAGCCTGGCAGAGTGGCCAAACTAACCAATCATAACATTGGAATTCTAAGCACCTGAGAGAGAGCAGGAACCTCCCAGAACATCGTTTTGTGTTATGCCCAAAAGAAATACCCCAGGTGGATTACTTTTACAATCAGGAGCTCCTCAGTTGCTCACAGCAAATTCCACCACAGAGTTTACAAAGACTTATGGCTAGAAAAGCCACACTAAGTAATTTACTACACCACAGAATATTACTTAAGATAAACAGTGCTATTTCATAATAATTAGAGGATTTGCTCATCAAGAAGACATAATCCTAAATATGTACAGACCTATTAACACAGATTCAAAGCATATAAAGCAAAAACTAATAAAACTAAAAGAAGAAAGATAATTCCTCAAT